CAACGGCTTAAAGAAAGACATCAAGAGATGTGTCGGGCAGCGAACAAAGAGGTGAAACGCCGAACAAGAGCAGATAAACGGAAGTACATAGAGAACCTTGCATCCCAGGCGGAGGAGGCAGCTGCACGCAATGAGCAAGGAACAGTATATAAGGTCACCAAGATCATAACAAGTAAATGCCATACAACCAACGTGCTTGTAGAGGTCAAGAGCGGTATCTTATTAACATCAGAGGGAGAGCAGCAACGGCGCTGGACGGAGCACTTTAGAGAGCTTTTAAACAGACCACCACCAACAGTAGTGCCAAACATCCAGGAAGCCGCAACCGACCTTGACATCAGCACAGACGTTCCAACTAGGAGGGAAATCATCCAAGCCATTAATTCCCTGAAGAATGGAAAAGCTCCTGGCCATGATAATCTAAATGCCGAGCTGTTTAAAGCAGACCCAGAGCTTGCTGCAACCATTCTGACCCCCTTGTTTACAAAGATCTGGGAGCTGGAAGAAATTCCGACAGATTGGAGCAGAGGAGTGATAATCAAGATACCAAAGAAAGGGTCTCTAAGTGATTGTAACAACTGGCGAGGAATTACCCTTTTGTCTGTGCCGAGTAAAATCTTTTGCAAGGTCATTATACAGTGCATCACCCAAGCTGTTGATGACCTCCTGCGGAACGAGCAATCTGGATTTCGCAAGGGACGTGGATGTACGGATAACATTTTCACACTGCGGAACATACTTAAGCAATGTACTGACTGGAACAGGGAGTTGTATGTAAATTTCATCGACCATGAGAAAGCGTTTGACAGCATTCACAGGGACAGTCTTTGGCAGATTGAGAGCATATGGCATTCCACAACGCATTATTAATATCATCAAATGCTGCTACCCAAATTTCACATGTTGCATCGGTCAGGGAGATCTAAGTTTTGAAGTTAAAACCGGTGTACGGCAGGGATGTGTCATGTCATCCATGCTATTCAATATTGCCATCGACTGGGTCCTTTGTCGAACAATGGAAGATCAGCGAAGAGGCATAAGATGGACCCCTTTTACTATACTCGAAGACCTCGACTTCGCAGATGATTTAGCCCTATTGTCCCACACACGACAGCACATTCAGGAAAAGACAGACCGGCTCAGCATGTTCAGCAACCAGGTCGGCTTGAGAATTAGCTTGAAGAAGACGGAGGCCATGTGTGTTAATGTCCCTTCCCCAACAAAGATCAGGGTAAGAGGAAAGGACATTCCATACACCAACAAGTTCACATACCTCGGAAGTGTGCTCTGCCAAGATGGGGGTACTAGTGTACGTATACAAAGCAGATTGAACAAAGCAAGAAATGCCTTTATGAGCTTAAGATCAGTGTGGAGGTCAGCAAGCTACAGCACAAAGACGAAGCTTAGAATCTATCAGAGCTGCGTATTTTCAACTCTCCTTTACGGCTCGGAATGCTGGCGAATGACAGAACAGGATCTCTCAAAACTAGCATCCTTCCACACAGCTAACCTCAGGAAGATTCTGAGAATCTTCTAGCCTCAGAAAATATCAAACGACCAGCTACGGAGGCAAACCAAGCAGCAGGGTATTCGTACGCTTGTCAACAGGAGAAGATGGAGGTGGATCGGTCATGTGATGCGGAAGGCCAGTAACAACATAGCCAGAAATGCAATGCACTGAACACCTGAAGGCAAACGAAACAGAGGGCGCCCGAAAACAACTTGGCGCAGGACAGTAGAGAAGAGACCAAGGGGGCTCGATTACAGCTGGAGCACCATGAAAAAACTGGTTAGACAGACAGATAGACAGGGTTGGAAGGATTTCGTTGCTACCCTATGTGCCACACAGGCATGATGGGTAGTAAGTAAGTAAGTTACTTTCGATAGGCTCATGCTTAATATAGCAGTTTACAGGTACGGACTTATGATTACGTGACAGACCAACCTTTCACGACTTTATAAATTTTATTGGTATGGTGCTTCGCTACGCGCACGCTGCGAACCGCGCTTTTACTCACATTTATCGTAATTGTTTGTCATATAAAATGGATAAGAAGTAGATATTCGAATTTAAGAGATCCTCGCAGCTAAGAACACCACTGAACTAGTTGTTGAAAATAGGACCTGAAAAGATTTGAACCCATGACCTCTGCGATACCGGTGCAGCGCTCTACCAACTGAGCTTAACAAGCGAACTGGGAGCTGGTCAATATTTTGGGTCCAAATAAACCATCCAAGTCATGAATAATGATTTTAGATATATGAAATTCATATATTTGCACTGCGGTGAAGAAACGAATTTAGGAGATCCTCGCAGCTAAGAACACTACTGAACTAGTAGTTGAAAATAGGACCTGTATTTTTTTCCTTTACCGCAGTGCAAATATATGAATTTCATATACCTAAAATCATTATTCATCACTTGGATGATTTATTTGGACCCAACATATTGACCAGTAGAAAATACCGTTAATCAACTCTTTGCGAGGCAATCCAAAACTATCCAGTTAATCCAGCCTTTTTTTACGCATAAATTTAAATTTTAAAAGCATGTCCTTTTTTACGTTTTTTTCTCCCTCGTCTAATGGTGATTCATAACAGCTTATTGTCTATACCAACTATTTTATAGTGTAACTAGAGATGTTATTTGTTACTCCATGTACATCGATGGAGACAGACACAAACAAAAAATTCCCTACAGCGGAATGAAACTGGCGCAGAAAGAGTCAATTGGAGGAGTCTCACGTTTTATATCGTGGGCAAAAAAAAGTATCTTTTAACATCATTTTTGTGTAAAAATTGAAAGTTTTTTTTACTTAATTGGTCCGTTTTAGAATCATTTTTATTATAGAGTCCCATCTCAGTAATGCATTAAGCCTTATAAAGCCACTGAGATACTAGGCACACTTTCATTGGTCGATAACCAGCGTGTTTTGACAAGAGTATGTCAACACCTACAAGGCTACATGGATTGGTATTTTTTGCTAATTATGTTTAATGGAATGCAGGGGAAGGTCTTTTCTGTTTAATTAAAGAGCCTCATATAAACATTAGGTTGGTTTGGAGAATTCCTCAAAGTTATGCAAATCTTCGACTTCGTCTTGGTATTCACCCAGTCCTCCAGATTATTTAGATGAGGCTATATGTAAATACGGAAAATTTCTCCATTGATTAGATTGTTTTCAGTTGTCGTTTAGGTGGAATTAAAATTTGAAAACTACTCACTGACGTGCGACAAGATGATAATGAAAAGTTTGCAGATAAATTATGATGCCTTACTAACAATTCCTCGCGTGTGTTAGGGAGCTATCGCCACCATTTCAGTGGCAGTAGCCCGGATGGAACATCGCAAAGCAAACGCAGTTAATCGATGTTCATGCATTCGGGATATCCATTCGTGTATTGCTGTCACATATGATTGCACGTAAGATTCTGACTGAGTATCTAACCGTACAAGGATTGAGTCGTTGTGATCGTTCGCAAAACTCAATAAGAATAAGTAAATAGGAACTGGGGATATTTCTTTGCTGTTTGGGGCGAGGAATCAACTCAGATTTATCGAACGCATGTAAAATGTCTCCCTTCTTCCCGCTGGTGATAAAGGCCGTCAAAAGAAGACTTCGACTCCGAACCAATAACAACATCTTGCTGGCCTGTTTTTAGTGGTGACTGATGTATCATCTGGTCTTTTTGGCCAGCCATCGTAAATATTCTTTCACAACACCTCATCACAGGGATTTTAATTAAAAGCAAACAACTGTTTGATGGTTGTAAGTGATAGATCACTTTGTCTTTTCAGGCCTTATTTTCACTACTGCTCAAGTAGTGTTCATTACTGCAAAGATCGTTTTCGTATTCATTTCTGAATCAGCAGTTCACTTACATGACGATATAACTCCGTATTGTTTGAGTATTATTCCAACATGCATTTTAAACGCGAGTAGCCTTAAACATAGCAAGCAATGATTCTGATATTTTCTTCTTTGTCGTCAAAAATGATCCTCTCTCTTTAATGATCGATTTGTTTAGTGCCTTAAAGTATCGAAGAATTTTTAAAAAGCTACACATTTAACTTTATTTCAGGTAAAATGTGTTTCCTGCGTGTCATGCATATAACTTCCTTTATTTAATTGGTAATAGGATGAAAACGGGATCAACAGCGGGTTATAGAACTACTTGCATTCTCCTTCTTATTTAAATAAGATTGATGTATGCTTCATGACAATCCTTTTTTTTTTATCAAGAAAATCAATTTAATGAACAGGTCTTCTTCCAGTTATTTGTTTTTAAATTGTTTTTAAGCTTTGAGGGTAGATCATTCCCAAATTATATCTTTGTAATACATTACCAAATCTGGACAAATGCCTTCAACATGAATTTTCTTTGGTGTTTAATCAATCTCGAAACAATCAATCGAACCAGGCGCGTAGCGTGGTCATTTTTTCAAGTACACACAAGTACATATGATCTGGAAACCTAGGTAAACTGAGCGAAAAATACTGCGTTCTTTATTTCTTGTTCGAAATAGTTGTGTGAATACAAGCAAAGAACAAAGCGTCTTGCCCTTATTTTGAGCAAACTAGGCGCAAACATAACATTGTTTTGGTTGGGGATCTTCGAGCATGCACTCAGCAGCGTTTTTCGTTTTAAAGTACAGTTATCATTTATAAGCAAAGAACGAGGCGTCTTTCTTTGTGCTGTGAAAACTGGTTGCGTGCACTCTCAACATTGATTTCTTTTTCCTTGTGGATGTGCAATATTGCTAACGATTAAAGGCGATGGTCGGTCATCGTGTTTCGTAGTGGCGTCTTCAACCTTTTCATCGAACTAAAGCTGCGCTCAGCAGCGCATGCCGATACGGGATACGTCAAGAGCGTTTTTACCGCTACATAGATTCCTGGGTAGAATGCAGCATTAGCTACATCTAGAGTTTCTACCAACGTCTGTGGGAGAGGATCGGTTGGCTCCCTGATAGACCAGCGGTACCTCCATCTGTGATGTCATTTACCTGGGATAAGGAGCTGAGCCTCGAAGCCTGGTTGTGGCACCACGAGCTTTTCATTGATCTCTGTAACGAGGTGATCTAGAAATGGCAAATACATTGCCCTTTTCCAATATGCTGATGGAGTATCCGCTGGAACGTTGTTGTGATGTTGTTGCCTTCCTGCCGTTCTTGGCGATGATGGATCAATGCCGTAATCCGAGGCGATTTCTATAGCCTTTTCCATCAAGGCCTCCCAAACAGCATCGTCATTTCGCTCGGCATTAAGAACAGAGAAGCAGGTTTTTGCTTCTTCAGAGACTTGAATCAATTCGAGGTCAGGGCTCTGGGTACAAAAAAATGGTTTTGATTCTTAGTAATGTAGTAAATGTAAAAGTCAAAGATATATTATCATTTGATCTCACTTGAAGGCATACCGGCAGCTTGTTAGTATATTCAAAAAACAAGAGTAATAATGCAGTCCCATTTCAGAATAGACGCGTGGAGCGCTCTGGCTTTGCTATCACCTTCCTCGCTTAGCTGGTCTAACGTGTCGACTATAACCTGAAAATGAACATTGATGGATAAGCAAAATGTTCCATTGTATTTAGCTCATAAAAGATGGGCTATGATTCAGATTATTAATATCAATTAATACCTTGAAAGCGTCGAAGAAAACTGCCTGGCAATCTGCTCTGGAGGCCCAGCGCGTTTCACAAAGCACCTTCAGCTTTGAGCGTCTTCCCATTTCTTCTCTAGCAACAGGATTGTCTCCAAGTTGTTCTTTAAATACAAACAAACGTTTTGCAGAGAACTTAAAGGCCAACGTAGCTTCTTGCATGGTATCCATGATGTTTCTCACAAGTGGAAGCTTTGATGCATGGACAATACAGAGGCTTAACATGAGGTCGACAATGGATATAAACAGCATTTGGATTTACTTGACGAATCCGTGTTTGCACACCACTCACGTGCCCACTCATCATATCCTTGGGCTCTCATATCATTCACTGAAAAACCGACGCTCTGGATGGTCTCTAGCAATTTTGTTGTGAGTTCCTCAGCGTTGCTTCCTTTGTCTGCATGTACAAAAGTAAGGAATTCTTCACTTATGAGATGTCTCCCGTCCTCTTTCCTGCCAACAAAACGTATACAAATAGAAATTTCCTCTTTATTTGTAACATCAGTCGACTCATCAGCAATTAATGCATAAATGACAGATCTCTTGCAATTGTCAATTAAGCCATCGAGAATCTGCTTTGCTGAAAAAAAGATGATCTCGTTCTTGATATCCGGACATGTATACTTGGAAATCCGAGGTGCGTTTTCTTTCGCCAATAGAGACAGCATCGCCATAAAATTGCTATCTTCGTCTTGGAGACCTTTGATAGCTATGCTTTGCTTCCCCATCATAACTAGGACCTCTGTTATACACTTGAGAATAATTCTATTCCTTCTAACTTGTTCCACTCTCTGAGAGTGAAGCTGTTGACAGATGTTAGGTGCACCACCTCGCTACGTGTGCAGAAACGCTTCCCCGCGAGCTACTGCAGTGTGATGAGCACTTTTTTTCGCAGACATGCTTCTTCACTAGTTTAGAAATATTGGACCAATCACGAGTACGGAAAGAACGATCATGGATGATGAATAATAAACAGTAACAACAGTAAAGGGTGTCTGTATCTCAACCAGGGTGTTCTTGCAGTGATGTCGGGGTTTATCTTTCTATTCTTTCCGGAAATGTTTCTAAAAATATACAAGTAAGGCCAATTACTAAATTTTTCTAACCATGCTTAGTGACGTTATTAGCTTATCAGTTTTCATTGAAGAATTCACACCATGGCAAACCGTGGAGCAATAATTCAAAACTTGCATTCAAACCTTAAAGGAAAGCTGTATGCAACAAATCAGCGCTATCCCATCTTCCTTCTCGCAACTTTCTCGCTGTCAGTGAGTGCCTTCACTTGGCCACTTTCAGTTAAACTCTCAGGATAGAGAGGGCCATTCTGTCTGAATTGACTTGTATTAGATTCTTCCGGGAAAATATCTTGTGGGGGTGCCGCCACTGCTTGAGAATTTTCTGGAAAATCATCGTATACAATATTTCTGAGTAGAGATTTGACTACACGGCCAGGCAATACAATCGAGCAGCTTACCTTCTTCATCGTTAGATTCACTATTTTCGTCTTCGATGACATTGAAAAAATCTTTGATGGATCTTTTTGACATATTATGTATCACATCAAAGCAAACCGGAAAGATCGATGGGTTCGAATCTATTTTATAGTCAGAGCTAGCGTGACTGGAATTGTCAACAACATTCTCGGAACGTTGCTCCTTTGTCAAGAACGTTCTTGGAACGTCGCTCCTTTGCAACCTCGCCTTTTTGTTACACGCTGGCCAAACAACACTGCATTGTTTAGTAAAAAAAAGTACCATGCAAAACTAAGTTAGAACATGGTATAGCTTTTGTTTTAGCTTTTAGAATTTAATCAAAGTGGTGTTTTCATCACGAAATCTTGGTTGCGTACAAGTAAAATATTAAAAATAGAAACAATTGCTAAAAATGTCAAAATTTTCTGGTCACTTCAGGTACGCACGTGCGTATATGCGTATAGGACGCTACGCACCTGCGAACTATAAATGAAGGTTGCGAAAATGCCCATATCCCTTCCCCCCCCCCCCCCCCCCCCCCCCCCCCCCCAGACGATAAAGCTAGGGACAGGATATTAGAATACTGTTCATCTGACTGGTTTCAAATCGTTTTATTTCAGAATATTCTATAATATTTTTACAATCTATTGAAAAGAAATAAATGAATAGTCGGTATTACTTCTGGACTCGCGTCGCAATATAATGGCGCCTTTTCAGTTTATCCACAAGCCAAGCGAGTGGACGTTCATCTCAGTACATCCACTAGTTCGCCTCCAGTTTCGGGTCTTCTCTCTATCAAAAGAGACAAAAATAGTAAGTCAGTGAAAAATCAACTGATCACCAGCAATAAACCTTATGATGTATCAAGTTGTTTCCCCGCTCTGCAATTAAATTTTTGATCACGTTGAATCACACACTCACGGTTTGCAGATCCCAAGACGAATAAATCTCACTTTTGAAATGTTTTCCTTGGCACAATGCAATTCAAATAATAAATTTTACTTGATTTAACTAGCAGAGTGCTTCCCGTTTACTGCTAAGTAAGCTCGCTCATGGTTTTCAAATGTCGTCATAATTAAAACAACAACTGACCTCCTTTTGACGAACTTCTCTTCCGGCAGGAATGGACCATTCATAGTCCAGTGGCCCATTCATAGTCCAGTAGTTTCCTGTCCTGGATCTTGGTACTGCAAGAGAAAAAATGACAAATTCATTTTCACAAACTTTCACAACAGTTAACCCTGCTCTCCGTTCTCAGTAACAGCCAAATACCTGGACGACTCTTTCAAGGGGAAAACGCCGTTTGGCCACTAGTTTCGGCCGACCGAAGGCCTCTGCTTGATTATTCAGAAGCAGCAAATAAATGAAGGAGAAGAAGAGTATAATCCACATTGTGTTCATGTCTGCTTCCATTCAGTTCATCCAGTCGTGATGAGAATGATTAACTAGTTATTCTGAGAAGTTTTTATAGGCCACTCTGATTCTATTTGAGAGGCGCACCATTACCCATTAAACAGTGTTTCCTCATAATTTATCAATGCCTGTCTGTTTTCATCTGAAGGCTTATTTCTTCCCTAAGTTCTTGTTTCACCAGTATGCTCTCATGTACATATCTCCTCTAATTAATCTCATAACACGACAAGATCCAGTAATGCAACACAAAGTTTCTTTCTATATGTCGAAGATAAGTTCCGGAAATGAAAGCATGGTGATATAAACATACCGAAAGGCCGCATCCGACGAACGAAAATGAGTAAAACATAATAAACAACGCCCCTACGGCCGGTATATACAACAAATTTATACCTAAAGTAGAGAATTCCTTTAGCTCTACGATATTAAGGATTTGTAAGGGTAAAATTTAAAAAATCCCTTAATCCGGTGTTTGTAACAGAACATCCCAATACTTTTGTTCTCATTATGAAGTAAAAGAGACGAGATCTTTTTACAATGTATCCATTTGTTTTTATCTTATTGTTGCTTAGCGGCTGACTCAAATGAGTGTCAAATTAGTACAACTTCTAAGTTTACATTATAAACTAAACTTTACTTAGTTTTAATTTTCTGCTGTAAAGAGCTTCCAATTGATGACGATGTCCTTCAAAAGCTGTAATGAGTAGATGTATATACATATTATCCACGTCTTATTATGAGGATTCAGTCAACTGCGTGGAATTACTAACATTGCAGCTATTTCTAATCGTGGGCACCGATTAACGGACAGTTTGTGAGTCATTTGAATCGAAATGACGGTTGGCTGTCGCCACAACGGAAACACAAAATCAAAATGCTCTCCACAAACTGTTAATTGCGAAAAAAGTCTCACGTCAAAAAGTATTCAATGGTTACCATGTGTTGATAAAAATGGGCTCGTAAGACCACATCATTGTCTAATAGCTAATGACACATTAACAATAGAATATTGTGAGGATTATGAGGGAAGGTGTGAAAGAAGGGAAAAAAGGTTTCATTTAAAAAGGTTTGCCATAGAAATGAGTACTCTCAAAATTCACGCGAGATACCACTGTAACTTGCACCGGAAAATTTATGGAAGAAATGCGTATGATGATAGTAATTACCAAAAGATAATAAAAGCTGATGAAGGTGAAGCTTACGCTGTTCGATCTCTAAAATTTGGAGTTTTCAGCTGCTATTGATTTACATACGTTATGCAAACCAGGTTTAACAGTAGATGGGTCTTTCCTTTTTCTGTTCAGCAACTTGGCAGAATTTTGGACATATGTCACGAGAAAACCAAATATCGAAGTCATCAGCGAATACCTGATATGAGTATTCTTGAGAAGAAATGAATTTGTTATGACAATATATGGCGAATTTAGCGATTAGGGGTTATCGTCAGAGTCGTCGATTAAATTGTCTCGCCGTTCTGGGGATTAACTCTCAAACTGAGCCGAATGAAGACCTAAGCGAGTTTAGAAACCCGAGACCTGTTTCTCGAAAGTCCTTGTAGATTTAGATACACAAAGCTTAATTTATTAGTTGTGTTTTCATTCAAGATAAAGACTTTGACCGCTTTAAAACTCAAAAGTACGAGTAGATTAAACAGTTTGCTTGTCTTTGAGCCAAGACCCAAAATACTATTCCTCAATTTGAGAACGGTAAATTAAAGCTTCGGATCTGCGAAGTTAACTGGATTATCAACAAACGTGCCCCAGGGCATAACTACGATAGATGTAGTGAGATCGAGTCTCCAATAGTTCCAGGAGAGTAAGCTAATGGGTGATAACGGCGATTATTTGCTCTGAGACTCTACAGTCCAATAGGGTGACATAATTTATTTCTTGATTGTGAGGTGGTATCAGAGTGAAATCGAAATGCTGCGTGATAAATTAACTTTTTGCCAAAAACTACATTGACGTGATTCATGATTAAAATCTTTCTAATTGATCTTGGGAAGAATGCCTTTAGAATTTGTTTTCGTATGTTATTATTTCGCCACCCATTATCCATATTCCATTCCTTGGGAAATAAAATTTTGACTAGGACTGTTGTAAAAGCAATACGATAACCTTAAAAAGATGTATTATAAATGGCTGAACAGCTCAAGTCTGCCCGTATTCATACATCTCTTTTCTAAGTCTCCATGAAAACTTTCCTTTTGCATAAATACTTTTTGGATTTCCTTTCTTTTTTTCTCCTTTTTATTCCAATCCTTTGCGATATAATTATGCCACAAAGGATGTTTCAATGTCTATAGAGGCAGGCAAATGGACGTCGGTCTCCTTTCAACTGTTAAGGTTTTAATGAGCTTTAATGAAGACGTTGCACAAAGAAGGAGTCGATCACTGTATGTCAGGAACTCCTCAGTTGATGGGGCACAACAATGATTAGAAGTTAGAGTCGTATTTCCAAGCCTTAAATATTTAATGACTTTGATTAAATCAGTTGACGTAGAGATCGTGGCTGTACGCACTGTCATTTTAGAGTTGTATTTTAAATTTTTTGTTAGTAAAATACCATTAATCAACTCTTTTCGAGGCACTCCAAAACCAAGCATTTTATCCAGCCTTTTTTATACACATATTTAAATTTTAAAAACATGTCTTTTTAGGTTTTTTTCTCCCTCGTCTGATTGTAATTCATAACAGCTTATTGTCTTTACCAACATTGTGTATTTAGAGAACGTAATTTGTTACTCCATGTACGTCAATGTAGACAGACATAAACAAATAAGTCTCCAAAGCGGAATAAAACTGGTGCATAAAGAAGTGAGTCTCGCGTTACATATCGCGAACAAAATAAGTATCTTTTAGCATCAATTTTTTGTAAAAATTGAATTTTCTTCTAACTTTATCGGTCCGTTTTAGAATCGTCTTTATTATGGAGACCCATCTCAATAATGCATTAAGCCTCATAATGCCACAGAGATACTAGGCACACTTTCATTGGATTGGTATTTTTTGCTAAACATGTTAAACGGAATGCAGTGGAAGACCTTTTCTGTTTAATTTTAGAGCCTCATGTAAACATTAGGTTGGTTTGGAGAATTCCTCAAAGTTATGCAAACCTTCGACTTCGTATTGGGTTCACACGATTGTCACCAGTTCACCCAGTCCTTCAGATTATTTAGATGAGGCTATATATATATACGGAAAATTTCTCTATTTATTAGATTGTTTTCAGTTGTCGTTTCGTGGATCTACAATTTAAAAAATACTCACTGACATGCGACGAGACGATAACAAAAGGTTTGTGCAGTGATAACTTATAGTGCCTTACTAACAATTTCTCGCGTGTGTTAGGGAGCAATCGCCACCATTTCAGTGGCAGAAGCCCGGATGAACATCGCAAAGCAAGTGCAGTTAATCGAAGTGCATGCATCCGGGATATCCATGACTGAGTATCTAACTGTACAAGGAGTGAGTCGTTGTGATCGTTCGCAAAACTCAATAAGAATAAGCAAATAGGAACTGGGGATATTTCTTTGCCGTTTGGTGCGAGGAATCAACTCTAATTTATCAAACGCATGTAATTTGTTGTCTATTCAGCACAATCAATTTAGGTCTTTGTTTGCCTGTTTGTTTATTTATTTATTTGTTTTGTTTTGTTTTTTTTTGTTGGAGAAATAGTTCACTGTTTAGTGATAGTTTTATGTTCACTCATTTCATTTTAGCATTTCAGTTTTTATGAGCTTTCAAGCAGATTACTGAAATCATTTTCATGATTGATAGAAGCTTGGAGGTTCCGTGGAGAATTAAAAGCATTACTCCGATGCGGTGTTGTCGCATCGTTGACGTCAACGTCCGCCCGTAATAGTATCACTTCTCCCTCCCCAGTTCTGCTTAACGCGCTGGTGATAAAGGCCCTGAAAGGAAGTCTTCGACTCCGAACCTACAACAACATCTTGCTGGCCCGTTTAGCGGTGACTGATGTATCAACTGGTCTTTTTGGCCAGCCATCGTATGCCCTGTTGAGGATTTTCTTTATGTTTGGTCTCAGTTACAGTGATATGGTTGAAAATTTCCATCGCCATGTTATGACTTTCTTTGTAAATGCTTCAAGTCTTCACCTAACGTTGGTTACTTTCAACAGGCTCATGCTTAATATAGCAGCGTACACGGACGGGCTCATAATTACTCATGTCCTGTGGAGGATTTTCTTTATGTTTTACCTTACTTGTAAATGTACAACTTTACTTGTAAATGCTTCATGCATAGGACAGAAAATGCCTATAATCCCTTTCTCCCCCCCCCAAGGAGAAGCAATTAGAATACTGCTCATCTGACGGGTTTCAAATCGTTTTATTTCAGAATATTCCCCAATATTTTTACTATTACTGAAAAAGGAAAAATGAATAGTCGGTACTGCTTCTGGACTCGCGTTGCAATATAATAGCACCTTTTCACAGTTTATCCACAAGCCAAGCCAATGCGCGTTTCATCTCAGTACATCCACTCGTTAGCCTCCGGATTCGGGTCGTCTTTCTGTCAAAGAGATAAAAATAGTTATAGTTCGTCAGTGAGAAATTAACTGATCACCAGAAATAAACCTTGTGATGGATCAAGTTGTTTCCCCGCTCTGCAATTAAATTTTTGATCACGTTGAATCACACACTCACGGTTTGCAGATCCCAAGACGAATAAAACTGACTTTTGAAATGTTTTCCTTGGCACAATACAATTCAAATTATAAATTTTACTTGATTTAACTAGCAGAGTGCTTCCCATTTACTGCTTAGTAAGCTCGCTCATGGTTTTCAAATGTCGTCATAATTAAAACATCAACTGACCTCTTTTTGACGAACTTCTCTTTCGACGGGAATGGACCATTCATAGTTCAGTGGTTTAGTAATTTTCCTGTCCTGGATCTTGATGCTGCAAGAGAAAAAATGACAACTTGACTTTCACAAACTTTCACAACAGTCAACCTCTCTGACCTCAGTAACAGCCAAATACCTGGACGACTCTTTCAAGGAAAAACGCCGTTTGGCCATTAGTTTCGGCCGACTGAAGGCCTCTGCTTGATGATTCAGAAGCAGCAGATAAAAAAAGGAGAAGAAGAGTATAATCCACATTGTGTTCATGTCTGCTTCTCTTCAGTTCACCCAGTCGTGATGAAAAGTTTTTATAGGCCACTCTGACAGGAGACTCCGAGTCTAACTATATCCGCCGGCATTCCAAAATCGTTGCATCGATATGAAATTTACATAAAAGTCGATCACACTGATTGACTGAAATAGCTCCCCCGAGGAAGCCTCCGCACGTCAAATTAAGGGTGTGAACCGAAACCATTAGACTGTTAATTAACATCATTTTGCTCAATTCTATATGTGGGGCGCATCATCACCCATTAAACAGTGTTTCCTCATAATTTATCAATGCCTGTCTGTTTTCATCTGAAGGCTTATTTCTCCCCTAAGTTTCTGTTTCACCAGTATGCTTTCATGGACATATCCGCTCTAACAAGATCCAGTAATGCAACACAAAGTTTCTTTCTAAGTCGGAGATATGTCCCGGAAATGAAAGCATGGTGATATAAACATACCGAAAGGCCGCATGCGACGAACGAAAATGAGTAAAACATAATATACAACTCCCGTACGGCTGGTATATATAATAAGTTAATACTGAAAGTAGAGAACTCCTTTAGCTCCACTATGTTAATGATTTGTAAGGGTAAATTAAAAAAGTCTCTCAATCCGGTGTTTGTAACAAAACATCCTAATACTTTTGTTCTCATTATGGAGTAAAAGAGAGACGAGATCTTTTTGCAATGTATATATTTGTTTTTATCTTATTGTTGCTTACAATTTCTAAGTTTAATTTACAAACCAAACTTAATTTAATTTAATTTTCTGAGCTTCCAATTGATGACGATGTCCTTCAAAAGCTGTAAGGAGTAGATGTAAATATATATTATCCACGTCTTATTATGAGGATTCAGTCAACTGCGTGGGATTACTAACATTACAGCTGTTTCTTATCGTGGGAACTGATTAACGGACAGTTTGTGAGTCAGTTGAATTGAAATGACGGTTGGCTGTCGCCACAACGGAAACACTAAAATCAAAATGCAATTCTTTGGCTCTCCACTAACTGTTAATTGCGAAAAAAGTCTCACGTCAAAAAGTATTCAAAGGTTACTATGTGTTGATAAAAATGGGCTCGTAAGACCACATCATTGTCTAATAGCTAATGACACATTAACAATAGAATATTGTGAGGATTATGAGGGAAGGTGTGAAAGAAGGGAAAAAAAGGTTTCATTTAAAAGGATTTGCCATAG